ATATTCCGCCTCTCCGGCTGCTTTTCCTCCTCCACCTTCTTCTCGACTTCATCCTCATCCGGCGTCGGTTCAACAAGTGGACGTGATGGTGGTGGTGGGGTTATCCGTCTAACAGGTGGCGGACTCTCAACTTGAGCCGCACTAGCCGTCGCAGCATTACTACTACTAGTCGTACTATCCACACTCCCCGTATTCCTATGATAGGTAAGATTAGGCTTGGGTTTTGTGGGCAATGGAGGCTTGACCGATGGTCGTCTCGCAGGTGGTTTATAGTTGGGCGAGTGTGGACCTGACGAGGGTGCATTCGACGACGGCTTCTTGTCCCCTCTATAATCCGCTATCCTCGAATTCGCATTCTCTTTTGCGGCGTTCGCAGCTGCCTCTGCTTTGGCGCGGAGTTCTGCGAATGTAGGCATTTCAGAGATGCAAAGTTGAAGGCGCTTTTAATCGCCCAACTATCGGGATAGAATTAAATCGTGTTCGTGAGATTATACGTGTGTAGAAATAACGCTGGATTTGTCGGTTAGGCGGATGTTGAAGTCGTTGAAGGGTCGAGGTGTGGCGAATTACAGGACTAGAAAATGGAAACATGTCCAGAAATAGCGAAGACGGCGTTTGGCGGATTTATAGTAGGGATAAATTCGGAAATAACGAAAAAAAGGACACAGACGATAATGTTTGTGACTCGAGCGAATTCAGGCGGAGATTCGAGTTGTGGTGGCTTTTCTTCGACTGCGGGAGCGATGTGGTACTAGCTCAACTCTTCTCCAGCCAAAACTTGGGCCTCTCAGCTAATTAACCCCTAACTGTCTGAATGTCGTTCGGTCGACCGGGGAGTGGTTCTATATTGCAAGTCAATCCGCCGGACAGGGGATCCTTTCCACTGGATCATGATGGCATGCATCTTTCTTTGATACCATCAATAGAGAACGCTAACGACTCGAGAATAGGAGAATGCAAGGAAATGATGATGGCATATCTCAAGTGCCTAAAGGAGAACAAGAGCACGAGCACACCGTGTCGAACCATGTCGAAAACGTATTTGGATTGCCGTATGAAGCGGTACGCGTGACTCTATTCTTTTTTATCTCGTTAGCTATTCAAAAGAGGATCCTGGCGAACGCTTCTTGAAGGAGCGAAAATTTAGACACCTCTTCTTAATTTGACGCGCGCGCACCACCGATGACAAAATTCACTACTGACAATAAAAATTACAACTCTAACAGGGGTCTAATGCAACAGGAAGAATGGGAAAAACTAGGACTTGGGTCCGTGTCCAACGCAGAAGCAGCGACGACCGGTGAGGGGAGCGCCTAGTCGATCGGGGAGGGCCTCCAAGTTCACAAACAGAGGCCCTCTTGGTTCTTCGCTGTACGCGATGTTCTACTCTACAATATCACCACTCAGTCGACACCATATACCGGGACAGTTGGACCCACACTGCACGCATACAGGACCGGCTTTCCCTCCAGACCCAAGCCCAGATTAGAGCAGCGCCGAGAGTGTCTTGATGACCGATCTCAAGTTTCGTTGGCGCTGGTATCAATGCGCCCATATAGCAGTCAAAGGCTCACCTGATGGATATGAAATTCAGCTATTGAGCCCGTGTGTAAATAAACTATTATTCACCAAAGCCCCTCCCTGAATTCCTCTTTAAACTGATAAAAAATGCGATAACTTGTGATACTCACACGCTCACCGGCGAGCCGTGAGTGGCAACTCTGAGACAAATTCGTCGATAAGCAGTGCCGTCGTATCGCCTAGCCCTTCTTGGACGGGGCAGACAGACAGAGCCTCGTTCTGAGGAATTCCGATTGATAAATAAGAGTGGAATTTACACGGCGATAATTATTTGAATGTGTACGCTCCCGCCGAGGTCAGCGCTAATCTTGTTCGTTGGGCCCTCGGGCAGACATATAAAGCACTCCGCTCGACCCTCGTTGTCTCTCCAGCTAAAAAGTTCCCCCCTCCCACTCTTTGGCCTCTCCCCCCTATCTCTCCTTCACAAAGTAATAATCTAGAGACCAACTAGTCACACTTTGTATATCATGGATAACAAGGTGAGCATACGCCCCACACTATACTTTACTGGCCTTTCGGGCTTGGCGTGTCGGCGAGCGACTCCCGCATGGCCTAGCGCGAGGAGGAATCTTATGGACACTCTGGGCTGACTCTGCGTCTTTGTGATTTGTAGCAGCAGTACAGCACCCCCGGTGGCACTCCTGGTGTCTACCAGCAACCCACCGCGACCCCAGGCATGACCATGAGCGGTGGTGGTAACCGCAACGTCAAAAACATTCCATTCGACAGCAAGGGCGAACGTGAATGGAGTAACGGTCTCTGCAGCTGCTTTGGTGACTGCCTCACCTGTACGTCCCCACACCGTCCTCCCATTATTACTACCATCTCTAACCTCTTTTTGTCTCGTAGGCATCGTCGCCGCTTGGTGCCCATGCATCGTGTTCAGCCAGAACAAGACCCGTCTTCAACACATGGAAACCCAAGGATACCCCCACCCCGACGGCGGTGAATCCTGTGGTAGCGACTGCATGCTCCACTGTCTCTTGACCGCCTGCTTGGGTGCCGGATGGATCCTCCAAATCGGAAACCGCGAAAAGACGAGGAGCAGGTATAGGATCGAGGGTGGAACCTGTGGCGATTGCTTGGTCTCGTGGTGCTGCCACTCGTGCGCGCTCACCCAAGAGAGCCGCGAGCTCGAGTTGGAAGAGAGGAGCATGATCCCTGCAGAGCAGCAAAAGCATTAAGTGGGCGGCTGTAGCGCTCTTTCCACCATACGGACTAGGCTCTTAATTCCAGTACTCGCTCTCTCTGTAGGCTACCTCTCAACTAAGGGACGATGCTCATGATACTCTCATGAGCAGTCGTGTGTGTGTATCTATGCATCCCGATTGTGCCTTTGATACGAATATATCCTTTTTGCATGTAACACCGTCCACTCGGACAGTTCATAAGACATACACTACGATAAAACTACTATGAATAAGGGGAAGCTCAGAGTTTGGCATATGCATATCTTCCGCCCTTCTCGAGTGCCTAGGCA